TGAGGATTCTTACATTTGGAAGGCACCTCACATAACATTTTACCCGTTTAGCAGAACTTAACGCCCTTATACAGAGCAGGATGCGTGCTGAAGTGAAGCCAATGGTTGAGTCGGGCAGTCATGGTGGCAACTCCTTCCCCTAACCTTAGAAAACTAGACGTGTTCACCGGCAAGCCCGCAAGGCCATGGAAGATCCGGGCACCACGGAATGATCACCTTACGCGTGCCTTGGGTGCTTTGACTACAGAGATAAAACCCAATGAGAAAAAACACATTAGCAAAGCCAATGGCGGGTTTGTGCGAACGAAATGGCGTAACATGCGCTCCGCGTTTGCGAATGAATGCAGTGCGAGGATCGGTGCACTTGGAAACTATATGAAAGGCTGCATAGCAAATAGTGGATTCAATGTGAACCTTTAGGAACAAGCGGCGCGATGCAGATGTGTTTTAAAACAGTGTAATGTGGGGCGACGTCAAACTTGGACATGACACCAGGCAGAAAATACTTCCAGCGGGCTGAGGTCACGCATAGCCAACAGCCATCTAAGTGATCAGGGATTTATTTTCACGCTTCGCAACATGAACGTAAAATGCCAGCAGTTTACTGACTACTTCCGATTAAAATTGAATTCCTTTAAGCACCTCACTAAACGCTGGAAGCAATCGTTCTGGACGAGGATGTTGAGAAGCGAGAATACAAGACACTTACTTTCAACCAAGGCCTTGCCTTGGTTAATAATACAGAGGTTTTTTAAATGTTTACAGCGGTAATACAATTGTCGGTGATCACGAAATGATGCTCAAACTCATGATAGATTACCATCTTACGGGAAGCCGTACCACGCAAACCCAACACAACGGCCCAATTCATCACGCATTCTAGCAGCGATGTTTCAGAACCGTGGCTGTTGAGGCTAATTCGTTACATGATAATGATCTTAATTAAGTCGCCTCAGAAGTAAGGGCGGTGAGCATCTTTAACAAATTCATTGCCCAATTTGTGGCAAGTTCGACTTTACATTATTAGTCCAGAGCCGCCGGGTACGAGCCGGCAGCAGGATCGAAGCCGGGCCACGGGCACGCCGAACCGTTTCACGTCAACTCGATCTATTCGACGCCTGCTTGCGTGTGGCTGAACAAAGCGTGTGGCCCCGCTGGTGCGTCAACACGAGGCCTCAATACACAATTTAGAATAGTGAAGTATTTCAAGAAGCGTACAATTCTGGGCGAAATATACGTATTTGAAAACAAAATGATCGTAGCGCATAAATAATTGAATTTTGATTCCTTTCTTTTCTGAAAGGATTACGCCTATTAGTTTTCACTGGAGCACGGCAGATTTCAAAGCGTGAGGAAAAAAGACAGCAAGCGTTAAAGTGTCACGAAAAGAGATACAGATAACGAAGAGTTGCACATCTTGTTTTGACTTGTTTCCTGCTCACATTTCTCCGCCAAATTGATAGAGGTTTCCACAGCATGGCATTCTCAGCGTCGTTCACTAGACAATACCTGCGGAAAGGAAGCCTATACCGCGTTGAAGCATAACAGCTGTTGATGTTCATTCACTACGGGGTTGTACTATTACCGACCATATACCATGCGCAGATAGAAAGCTTAGCATCTTCGAAGGCTAGCCAAGCTGGTTCTTACTCACTTGATCTCGAGGAAATTTGTTCACACTCCATAGCAATGGGGGAAAAATATGTCGTTTGACCGTTAACAACTAGAATACCGTCGGTGGCAGCTCCCCAATTCCTATCTGTTTTGAGCCAGGGTGGCGAAAGGAAGGTTTATGCAACAGTTTGGTCCCGATCTCACCTCCGTGCGCGGTGCGGCGCCAGCAAACCTGCCTCATGGGCCGAGCACAAACTGACATGGTTCTCTGCGAGCGATATAGCGGAGTGAAGCCTCCCTTTTTGACCCCACAGCAGTACTGACCCGCGATCCGTGTCGTTGAACAGAACAGGAACATGGCTAACCATGGGCATCACTGACATATTTGGAGGAGTGTGCGCTCGCGCGTGGAAGCCGCTTTGAAATGATCCATTACTAGGCTGAGAGCGCCGGCTCAAAGACTATGGCGACTTTATATAAATATAAAGGCTAACAACAGCTCGATAACAAGCCTTAAATAACCCGAGAACCGCCGGCGGTACAGCCCCAAAACCTCACGTGCTCTGAATCAGCAAGACGAGGGGAATATTTGTATGACACTTGGGCCCGAGCGGGCCGCCATGTGTGGCGTGGCGCGAGCAACTTGCTACATACGGTTGGCATTGGTGACGATCGACAACTCGCCACTTTCAAATTCATGGGTGCGGCTGTTTTGCCAAGTTATCAAACTATAGTGTTTCGGGAAATACTGGTCAAACGACGTTATAGGGTATTGTCTACTCTGGCAGCACTCAACGTTCCAAGCTGGGCTTATGATCACGATCACGAGAGACGAGTGATCGCAAGTAACGTCACGACTGTCGCGTGCCACGTGCCACATGTCACGCTTGCAAATATGTCAGTAGCGAGCAGACGGATGTTGTTAAAACCGGAATATACAGGAATACATTTTCGTTATGGGAAATAAATGTGTTCTGACACTATCTTTTCTGCATTGCGAGTTCTTGTGTTGCGAATAACGGACTTTTAAAATACACCAGGAAGCACTCGTTAACCGACGTTATCAAACAAGAATTGGCATACATGATAATATCAAGACGGCATTTACACTCGTGATCATGAGCGCTTTTCATAAACGTCGAGTTTTTTAAACAATTGAAGTCGTCGCTCGCTTGGTAGTTCATGAGGTGCCTCCTAAAAGTTCGATTAACTGGAACCTAGGAGCTCACATATATATTTTCGCAACCCGAACACAGCGACGACGGTGTCCATTGGCTTTACTGCCAGCATACAGTTTGCATTCGCCCATCTCCGAGTTCCGTTGTGTATGGCAGTGGGTCAGCCAGAGCTCGCCCCTGCCTGGAGAGCCCGAGCCGGGCAGTTAGCCGTAGCGCCGCACCTCGGGCACGTGCGCCCACTGACTGGCCAACTGCAGGACAAGGTCAAGGACGGCGGAGCGGGCCAACCCATGATGCAGCAGGACACGGTGCCCCGTTTCTGATTTGTCCCGCAGGCAATCTGAGACTACTGTGTGGCCCTCGAAAATTACGTGATATTGATTGCCTTCGGTTGCTATGGAGCTGAGCGTTTGGTGGCGAGACGTTTTTAAGAGCTTGCATTAGTTGTATTATTCCTGTGAATGATTTGCACTCAAATAGCCTTTAATATCGTTGGAACGTTTTTAATGACTACATGCAAGTATGAATACGAATGCATGCAGCACGTTCCAGACCAATTTCATATTGTGAAACCTGAAATGACGCCCGAATTGCTGTTTTGCATTATCAATCGCTTAAACACCCGGGCTTCACCGAGTTGTTCCAGCTAGTCGACAACATGTGCCGTACAAAGGTGCGATTTGTCTCCCCAAACATGAGACTTTCAGCGTAGTTTTCATCCCTCGGTGCGCAAATCCCCAAATACACAGCAGGTCAAGAGTTTGGCAAGCGTCGAGCACTCGCATACGACCTATTTTGTACAGTTCCCCATCCCGCGCTGAAAGCCTTGCAGAAGATGGAAAACGCAACTTCCAATTTCTGGCGGACTCGGACAGGCGCAAAAACACGGCCGTCGCCGCCCTCCACTCGGCGCGCGCGCCGCCGGACGGCGCGGCGCACGGCCGCTGGCGTGCTGCAGCCAACTCCAAATTGAAACTCGTCCCGCCGCGGATGTGTTTTGTTGCGTGCATGGCCCCCGCCAGCAGCGCGGCGCCGCGGCCCGCCGACCAAATCGGCCCAGTTAACGAGCGCCATAGCGGCGCTCACGGGCCCATTTGCCGTCCGGTACAACCGCGGCCCGCCGGTTTGGGAGGTCCGGTCCCCCGAGTGTGTGGGGAGGGGACGTGCAGCCCAATTTATTTGCCGTGGAATCGCACGGCCCGAGACCGGGTTGAAATGGGCCAGGCACCTCGACGGTTGGCGTGCTCCGGCGCCCCCACCGCCAGCCTGGGGGCGGGGGTGCAGCCGAGCGCAGCCTCGCGACCACGTCGCAGACCGCCTCGCGTCGTCACCAGCCCTCTGGCGCTTGTTTGCGTGTGGCCGGACAAAGCGCGCTGCCCGGATAATGCGTCGGGACGCGCGCCGCCGCATTCATTGCGACAGGTAGCGCACGCCTCAAACGTCGCCGAGCGGCCGGCCGAGTGATCCGGCCGACGCAGCCGCGCCACTCCACGCCTCAAACGAGCCGCTGAGCTCTCAGTCAATGCGGCCGCGCTGCGAGCGAGTGTGACACCTCTGCCGCGCTGACAGCGAAAGCGGGGTGCCATCGACGCGTCGGGAGCCATCGTGTTGTAAGACCTCCGGCGGTGGTGGAAGCGATTCACACTAACGGCCGCTTGCCTTTGCTTTGATAGTAGCACGCGATGTCGTGGTTACTGGGCATGCTTGCTGTTGTCATTCAGTATCGCTGCATTCTCAGATACAAAGAGTACAGAAAGAGTTTTAAAAATAAACTTCGAAACCATTTCTTAGGGTTCAAATGAAATGCGGAATGACATCTGTGTCAGGACACGGCCGCAAGAGGAATGCAAAACATTCATAAGAACATAAATTAAATATGGATCTTCAGCTGCTGGGATGTAAGCGACAAATTCCGCACAACATGCGCAACATATCGACCATACTGCGCAGCATTGCTCCCACTGCAAACACTTGAGTGTGTCTCCCCATTAATCACCATCTTTCTCTGCGCATCGCCCTGCGTCACTGTGCACTTGACACAGACGGCCGCCCTGCCCTGTCACTCCAGCCCTTTGCTGTGCTCCGGGCCGGTGAAAGGATGGGCATCCTCAGTCCGTGACAGGACTGCACCGACCGCACACGGAGCACGCCCTACTGACCAGCCTGTCGTCTGTGACCCGACCTGCTGGGTGAGCGGTACCCACTGACCTGGCCTGGCAGGGCACCAGCCCACACTCGACGAGCCGGTCGCGTGGCCTCAGGCGGTGGTCGCAGAACTCGTCCGACACCTCCACGCCGCTTCGCCGACTCTTGCAGACAGGGCGCGCCACCTGGAACCCTGCCGGTCGCAACGCAACGCGCCGTCACACCGGGTCAGTGCGCGGTGAACATAGGCACTCGATGTCGTAACAGAGGGCCGATGGTTCGTAGAGTTCCCCCTTTGGTTGTTGGTAGAGTTTAGTTTATCCATGACCGTATTCCGCATTTGGGACTGAGCCTAGCTACTGCGCTCGCGTTTTGCTGCAATGACCGCAGCTGTTCCATTTGTTGAAAAAGTAACGCGAAAATCAAGGCAGCTATCCATTGTCATAAAGCTGGCGACAATAATTTGGGCCTTTGGCCGACTCGACATTTCGGGCACATTGCGTCAAGCGTCAAAGCAGTCCAACGATCGATGGATGTGAGATTGTTCGTGACTATGAGATCGGCTGACGCGGCTGGTCTCTATCCGAAACCAGCTACGATGGTGCCACCACGGGGCTTGTGCCGGTCTCTACCCGAAACAATCTACGATGGTGCCACGGAGCTCGTGCTAAACTCTACCCGCGACCATCTACGATGGTGCTACGGAGCTCGTGCTGGACTCTGCCCGTGATCAGCTACGATAGTGTCACGGAGCTTGTGCTGGACTCTACCCGTGATCAGCTACCATAGTGTCACGGAGCTCGTGCTGGACTCTGCCCGTGATCAGCTACGATAGTGTCACGGAGCTTGTGCTGGACTCTACCCGTGACCAGCTACGATAGGTGTCACGGAGCTCGTGCTGGACTCTGCCCGTGATCAGCTACGATAGTGTCACGGAGCTTGTGCTGGACTCTACCCGTGACCAGCTACGATAGTGTCACGGAGTTCGTGCTGGACTCTGCCCGTGATCAGCTACGATAGTGTCACGGAGCTTGTGCTGGACTCTGCCCGTGATCAGCTACGATAGTGTCACGGAGCTTGTGCTGGACTCTGCCCGTGACCAACTACGATAGTGTCACGGACCTTGTAGGTGTGCAGTGTGAGCATGAGCTCCTGTGCGCTAACAGGTGCAATATGCATGACTCTCGGGTGTCTTCGAACGCCACATCGATGTCTAATCAATTGCCTGTGCCACAGGCTCGCACGACCCGTCGGAGCCATGTCCCGCACCGCCAGCCCGTATCTGAAGACGTGCACCGAGCCCGGCTTGGTGACAGACACCGCTGACGGCTGACAGCTGTTAACTGAAGCTATTGGGACATGTTACGTGATGGAAGATTAGGAAGATACATATTAACCCTCGCCCTGATGGTTGATACGACGCTCACCTGTAAGGTGAGAGTCGCATCATTTGCTTTTTTGTAGTACTTCTCCAGCAAACTGTGCAATCGCGGCCAACTTTTCAGTAGTCTAAGGAGCATGTATTGCGCGTGTTTTGACACCAAAAACGTATCGCTAGCTTTTCTCGCTCCGAAGCGGCAGTGGTTTTTGGGGAGCGCTGCACGGCGACGTACGGCCGGCGCGGCCGACGGGCGGCGGCCGGCAGCCGCCGATGTCGCGGAACGCGCGGCTGGCCGGCACTGTTACAATAATGGAGCCGTATATCATAACCATGTTCTCAAAAGCATAGAAATATGCATAATTGCATCAAGCACTGAACGAGAAACACGCCTGTTTAGGTTTTCGTCGCCGCAAAGCATGATCTCGTAGGTATAATGTTGCAAAGCTGAGTAAGTCCGATTTTCACGACAATGGACAGCTGATCTGACATAAGGGGGTCATTTGTTGACCAAACGACACAACAGCTTGCACTAATCACTCGTTGAGACCAATTCACTGGTGTTTACTGCTAAGATCTATCTTCATTATATTAAAAACATCAGGGGTCCATCTACCTACCTAGCCCTTCCCCCCAACCAGCCCATTTCTGAAAAAATGGCGAACGAGGGCGAGGGTTAGCACAAAGAAGGCGATACTATAGCTACGGATGTGTGGCCCGATCCCATATCCTGTCAGCGCTTCGTAAATTGCATGTCGCCTGATGACAAGCAGCATCGAAACGGGGCGATTTGCATATTTATGTGATCGTTATGACAACCTTCAGCGGGCGGACGAGATTTTCGCCCAAGTTCTGCGACAGGATGAAAGTCTGCTCGATCCGTGTTCCATAAGTAAGCTAGCGAATATCTCAAACAAGTGCAAAGTTTTACACACATAAGATAGACAAAGCCACCTTGCCGATCAGTCTTAACAGGAGCACCACTGATCTTCATGTCAGCTTAATTGCCTACAATTAGCTGTATTTTAACGCATCTTGCAAATAACGTTATCAGACAGTGTCACGTCTCTAGCTCAAAGTAGCCTACTGGCGCTGAGAAACTGCGACATTTTTATGAGACTGTTCTGATCGCTAGTGTTGCACTTGCGTCCATGAAATGTGAGCACAATGTAAAAAGATGGCTCCGCAGAATGAAGAATGCTATTCTTGAGGGCCTTTGATGGGGTCTGCACGTCTCAATGGTCAAACAATTCCCATAACGAGAGGCACGACTTGGTGCTGATCAAAGCTAGCTTGGCTTTTGGACCTAATCTCATTAACGGGTCAAACCCTCGTCGATTCCACCAAAGAAGGCGAGATGACGGTGGCCCTGGAGTGCAGTCTGGCTTCACGGTCTGTTTGCTCCAAAACATCAAATCCCAAAACCGAAAATTTAAACTGAAGAGCATCCGCAGGCCTGGACGTCTAAATACCTTCGTCCATTGTCTTCCGCACCATACTACGCCAGCTTCAAATCAAAAGCTCTAGTGCAGGCCAAAGGCAGACAGTGAAAGGGACAAGGGACCCGCTTGGGACAAAAGTGAAGATCTTGTGCGCCCAGTGATAGTGCAATTGTCGAAAAAGCGTACTAGAAGTGGGCAGAAGTTGTAATAAATCACCTCACCTAGTGCAATGCTCAGAAGAGCACATCCATAATGCTTTCGAGCCAGCAAATGCTCCAAAATTATGTAAATCTTTCGACCTGAACAGCAAACTGAAAAGTACAGCTAGATATCAACCTATTGATTCGATGGCGCAATGTTAGGGCCGTTTGCGTTGGACGGCCGCGCTAATGAAATGCATTGCGTTAGAGACCACAAAATGCATTGAGCTAGGGACCACGAAATGAAGTGCAAAGAACACGCCCAGTGTATTTTGATTTTGAAGAAAACATTTCGAATACGAACTATGAAATCAAATTGAACCAGCTCTTATTGCATTCTCAACCTACCAGAACACTGCTATGCTCTGTTATGCTCTGTTATGCTGTGTTCCCGGAGCGTCGACTGCAAACACACCACAACATATTTCTGAATTTCCGGACCAATCCATTTCCGGGCGGGTTGGCCGAGGTGCGCCCGACCCCCGAACAGCCGCGGCCGAAGCTGCCGCCCGGCTGCTGCTGCTGCTGCCGCTCTCGCCTTCTTTCGTCCAGCTTCCGCGCGCCGCTGACCGGCTCCTGAGAGCCCGCGGCGGCGGAGGGTGGCGCGGCCGCGCGCTGTTTTTGCCGCCGCCGACCCGGCCGTGAATCGCTCGCGGCGCCACCGGGCTCGTCCGGCTGTCAGGCGCGCGTGGACGGCATAAAACACTGCCGTCCGAGCGGCAGACGCGTAAAACGCTGCCGTCCGAGCGGCGGGCACTTGGCGGCCGGCGAGCGGTCGGCGCAGTCCGCGCTCAATCTTCATAAAGCGCGGTCGCCGCCGGCGCCGCGCTCGCCGCCCTGATTACCGCCGAATCCAGGTGAAGTGATAAAGGTTTGACGGCGAGTTAGGACAACCCGGAGGGGGGGGGGGGGGGCCACCGAGCGCCGCTGTCGGCCTCACGGAAAAGTTAGCCTGCTAGTGACCTCATCGTGCTGGGGATACGGAGGGACGGGGGACAGTGTGTACGCTAGTGACGGTTTGCGGCAATCCCTCCCACGCGAGTGTCAACACAGAAGTTGTGTCAACACTGGCTGGATCATCGTGGGTACACGCCGGGAGGCGAATGCTTGCAGGGAATCAATGCACGGGTACCCAGCAACAAGCACAGAACGAAACATAGTTCGCATCACACAACGTCAAAACAAGGATATTGCCAAAATTCCAGGATGTATTCACCTTAAGCACAAAAGAACGCATCCAACGCCATCCCATAGAATAAAACCAAAAGTCGCATACGTCCTGTAACATAATCCAGCCCACTGATTACATTCTAATTCATGACCCCACGTCCACTCGTCAGTGCTGTGTATGCGGCTAGGACCAGTCTCGTGCATTAGCAGCGGGGTCCTTTTGTGACAGGTCCAAAAGCTGACCTTCTGACCAAAAGCTGACCTGCTGACCAAAAGCTGACCTGCTTTGACCTCTGACAGGTGCGCGTGTCTGTCGCACGTCAGCACCAGTTTCGCAGCGTTGGCCTGCGGCGGCGTGGTGACAGAGTCAGTGAGCGCGGAACGAATCAGGACTGCTCCTTCTCACGGACTGTGTACAGCTGCTTGCGCTTGGATGGTGAGTGGTGGCTCTGTTGCACGTTGATGATAAATAAGGCGGTACTATTAGCCTTGTCCATCACGTAAAGTATATCGCTGTTTTTGATCCGACACTGATGATTTATAACGTACCGTGAAAATCCGTGCAAACCAAACATTGTTCTCTACTTTTGCACTATACTCTGCGCCAACCTGCATAAGTTCTGGATAAACACTTCACTTTGGTGACGTTTCCACCCCACGTCACCCTGCACCTGGGGGCACGCATCGGGTGCGAGGCTGTGCTCACCGCCCCGGGCGGGAACGCCACCCCCAGCGGTGCCGCCGCCTCCATGGTGGAGGGCGGACTCGCCAAGCACGCCACAGGCGGGACCTCGCCGCGAACAGAGTGACGCTTCCCTGAGACAGTACCCGACTAGATCTGCGGCTACGCCAGCTGACAGCCACGTCGCTTACGCAAATCGTCGACTGAACGAGCCAAACTCGGCCCTGGGGAAAGGTAAGCGGCTGAAGTGACAGGGCCGTGTTTACAGGAGCTGCAACGCGAATCCAAGAAAACAATCACGACGCCAGCTCAAAGTTCTGCTGCTGCGTTTGACATGTTGGCATAATGTAGTGCGGCGGTGAGCCAAAGAGAGCACCTGCGAGGCCGTGTTCCGCCAGAGCTCGTCACGTGTCCAGGAAGTGAGCTCTGTCACGCGGTCCGGTTCGACGTGCACCTCTGTCAGACGGCCCGGTTTGGCGTGCACCTCTGTCAGACGGTCCAGTTTGGCGTGTACATCGTGCCGGGCGGCCGCGCGCCACGACAGAGTGCGCCCGACAGGTGGCGACTGGTCGGCAGCTGGACCGCACCGCGGCTCCCCCTCGCCTAGCATGGGCAGAGACTCACCGCCCATTCCCGTGGCATGACATAAGGCAGGGACGTCGGGTGCTCTCTTCCTGGTACACTTCAAACTGGAAGCCATATCGCATCTCTACCACAGCGCATGTATACGGTTGTGTGCGTGTGTGTGTGTGGAGGGGGGGGGGGGGGGGGCGAGAACCTTCGCCAACCTCCTACGCCACACGTCATGGGACGGGGGTCTCTTTTTACCTCCGTCACAAGATTCAGAGCAAAGAGTCCCAGCTCGCCACCTCTTCCACCTCAGGACAGGCGCTAGGAAGTTTCTGTCTATTTCGGCTATAGAAAACATGGCACGAGCTTTCTGCTCGCCGCCGCCTCGGGACACAGAGCACGGAGTCTGCTCCTTCATCACGGGACACAGAGCACGAAGTATGCTCCCTATCACGGGGCACAGAGCACGAAGTCTGCTCCCCCATCACGGGATACAGAGCACGAAGTCTGCTCCCCCATCGCGGGACACAGAGCACGAAGTCTGCTCCCCCATCACGGGACACAGAGCACGAAGTCTGCTCCCCCATCACGGGAGACAGAGCACGAAGTCTGCTCCCCCATCACGGGACACAGAGCACGAAGTCTGCTCCCCCCATCACGGGACACCGAGCACGAAGTCTGCTCCCCGATCACGGGACACAGAGCACGAAGTCTGCTCCCCCATCACGGGACACAGAGCACGAAGTCTGCTCCCCCATCACGGGACACAGAGCACGGAGTCTGCTCGCCTCCACCACGGAACACGGAGCACGGAGTCTGCTCCTCCCCCACCACGGGACACAGAGCACGGAGTCTGCTCGCCTCCACCACGGAACACAGAGGACGGAGTCTGCTCCTCCCCACCACGGGACACAGAGCACGGAGTCTGTTCATCCCCCACCACGGGACACAGAGCACGGAGTCTTCTCGCCGCCACCGCAGGAAACGGAACAGAAAGTCTCTGCTTACCTCCGCCGCAAGACACGGAGCATGGCGCGATGATCTTCTCGACCCAGAAATGGTCGCCGGTGCCGCAGGAGGACCCGTCGCCGCCGCACACGCCGCAGACATCCACCGAGCGGTTCGAGCCGATGCGGAGGTCGCACCCCAGTGGCTGAAACACAGCGCACGCCGGGCCTATCAATAGCGGGTTTCGGCCTGAAATGCGGAATACAGAGCTGCGGCGACAACGTTTGGTTTGCGAAACGCACAAGGCTGAGGCTAGAGTCAGAGGAGTCATACAAATGAACCGCAACATATTTCAGCGATATATCGGCCAGAACTTGAGGAGCAACATCTTCCAACAGTTTACCAATTAACGCCTTTTCAAAATACGTTGATAGGATATTACCCTCACTTACGTAATGACGTTCCGCATGTTTCTGTATTACAAAGACACACGAAATTTTTTAGCATCATCTGGTGACCAGATTTGCAAGATAAACGGTCTGTCGGCTATGGTGCAGATGTGGAAACACACTTGAAAACGGCAACCAAAATGACTAAATTCAAGAAGTCATGTGAGTACAGTTATAAAGAGGAAATCCGCACAAAGCTGAAACAAAGACTGCCCCAGCTTCTCTGTCCTGGCACTACGCGTCCTAATACCGCCAGCATCTCGCATACTACTGCATAATCCCCGCATTCATTAAATCCATGCACGGCGTGCCGACGCTCGCCTGTGTATCTCACGCATTCGGGCTGTGCGCCGCGGGGAGACCCCAGCGCTAGAGCGCACCGGCCCACTAGTCCGGGTCGACAGCGTAGGACTGCTCGTCGTGCGCTCCGGTGCGCCGAGGTGATCTCTTGTTTTTGTGCCGGTGTGCGACCTGCACCGGGCAGCGGTGGGACTTTTTACACCTGAGCGCGCCCAGGCCGGCGCGCCGCTACATCTCGGCTATTGACAAACGGCGGCGGCGGCGGCGGCGGCGGGCCGGGGCCGCTCGCGCCCGGCCCAGAGACGGCGGCGCCCGGCGGCGGCGGCCCAGGGGTGCTGGCTGCACCCGTATTGATCCGGCGGAGCGGGCCGGATTTTGGTGGGTCCAGCCCCGGCGAGCGGCCGGCTTGGACGCCTGCCAGCGAGCCGCCGCGCCGCACCGCGCTGACGAACGCTCGCCTAGCTGACCCGTTACTGACACTCATGACTCAGTGCAATCTTGGGAAACGCAATAAATCCATGACGTCGAGTGATCACGATTTGCTGGCGTGAGGGCTTGAAGGCGTGAGGCACAGCTTCCTCGCTGACTTTCTCACTAATCTTATTAAGCGATAAGGGTATAGATAAGTTGCACCGTGCTAGTACAACCGGAATTCGAACACGACCCTCCACGTGAAATCCTTTGGTTACGACATGTACCGCGTCTCCATCATGGCAAAGCGGATCTTTGGTTTCGAGACCAACTGATATTTTGAAGGAGTCCCACAAGCTTGTAAGAGAGGTGCCCTCTGACCAGTTGGAAAAGGCGCTTCTGAAGTGAACAACACCAGAAGCGAACGGTTTGACAGCCGTCTCTGAGCAGTCAGCGACGGCCTCATGGAATCGACGGCCGACACAATGCTGACTCGATTTATTACAGAGCTGCCCTGGAATGTGACCCTCAGGGAGACAGACTTCTGCCGTTCCCAGAAGACTGTGACGACTCAATTCGTGCTCGCAATGATTCCGACAATCTGGAGGCCACAACGATCAACATCAGTTTTTCATCGCTTTATCAAAACTTGTTTTTCGTATCGAAACTGTTCGGGGCTGCATAGATTTCAGCGTGGGCTGTGGGGACCGCGAGTAAGTTCAGATTCTGTGGTTTTCATCATCTCTATCTCATTCCACTTCATGAAAAATGGAAGGCATTAACGACAATTCTCAAATCGACATCATGACCACCATATAACATAGTCATGTTTTAGCAACCCATGCAGAGCTTTCGTGCTATATCAATACCATGGTACTGGCAAAGATTCAGGCAAGCCAGGACGGAATCACGAAGCAGCAGGGAAGAGCTCTTCCAAAGGATGTCAGGCAACTGGATCGCTTTGCCATAAGTTTGCGTTTTACGCCGCCGTGGCCGCTTGTTTGCTTGCACAGATACGTTCTAAAACAAAAACCAACTTACAACAATGACATAATTCATGCAAAGCATAAATATCACAGAACACCTTATGTTTCATTGCCTTATTGACAACAGAGCACCTAAAATGGCATGGGTGCCTCAATTCGATATCCAGAGGTCGTCCCTCAGCACGGGTTCCCACTCAAATAGTCCGTGTTTGCCCTATAATGTTCTCCAGACTGCCCATGGCCTCTGGTTATACAAGGTGTCCCTAAAACAGCTAAGCGTACTATGACCACTGCTGAACCACCTGCCTATTTCAAGGCGCTTCCAAACCGACATGAGGCCCAACTGCAGCCCGTTGTAAAGCTCTTGTCAGCCTCCGTTCGCCGCTCTGCGACGGGGGGGGGGGGAGGGGGCCTCAGGTCGCGTCTCGACCTCTGCGAGGGCCGTCGCCTCGCCGTCGCCATCCCGAAGCGGCGCACAACAGAGATGCCGTCACAAAAACAGCCGCCGCCGCCGGCAGCCGGTTCCCACGCCGCGGCATGCTTTATCATCGCTCGGAGACGGCGCTTCGCGGCGGGCAGCGGCGCTGGACTCGGCAGCGGCGGGAGGTGACGGGGCGTCGCCGCCGTCAGCGGTCCCCGGTAGCGACGCTGGACTCGGCAGCGGCGGGAGGTGACGGGGCGTCGCCGCCGTCAGCGGTCCCCGGTAGCGATGCTGGACTCGGCAGCGGTGGGAGGTGACGGGGCGTCACCGCCGTCAGCGATCCCCGGTAGCGACGCTGGACTCGGCAGCGGCGGGAGGTGACGGGGCGTCGCCGCCGTCAGCGGTCCCCGGCAGCGGCGCTGGACTCGACAGAGGCGGGAGGTGACGGGGCGTCGCCGTCGTCAGCGGTCCCCGGCAGCGGCGCTGGACTCGACAGAGGCGGGAGGTGACGGGGCGTCGCCGTCGTCAGTGGTCCCCGGCAGCGACGCTGGACTCGGCAGAGGCGGGAGGCGACGGGGCGTCGCCGCTGTCAGAGGCCTTGGTAGCGTCTAGTTTAGTTTGCCAGACCGGTGCGTTCTGAGGCACGCATCAACTTCACTGAGGCGCTTTGGCATGGGGTGTGCCGTTCGGAGGCAAACTCAACGCCCAAACACGGAGGCATGGCCGCAACGGTAACAGACTGATCAGAACAGCCAAGAATGCCGGAACGGTCGGATGGCCGAGATAGTCAAAAGCTGTAGAGAAGGCAGGCTTCTGAAGCGGGACTTAAAGCTCTGGAGAACCTGAACAAATGGCCAAGATGGCGAAGGCCACCGAATGGTCAAGCACGCCCAGCACTATCAATTTGTTCCAGAGATAGCCAAGAATACCGAGTCTCCGGACATAAATGATGTAAAAACCACAATAGAAATATTCCCACGAATTAGGCACAAACGTCTCTTGAGTCACGTTATGGTAAATTCGTGCATGAAGTATGCAAACGATATCCAAATCACGTCTTTATAATGGTAATTATCTCAAATTTTCGTATGTAACCGTCAGTAGCTGCCACCAAATAGAACAGCACCGCAACGCACTATGACGCACTCTAAATCTGCGATCTAAGTCTGGAGCATACACATATGATAATATGACGCAGCTATGACGCACTATCGCGCGCTCTAAGATCTGCGATCTCAGTACGGAACTTGCACATATGATAGTACGACGCAGCTATGACGCACTTTGGCGAGCTCTAAGATCTGCGATCTCAGTCTGGAACATGCACGTATCATATCTGTCCGATAGCATATAGTGATGATTCCGTGCTTATATCACAATCATGGCGTGACAGCCAGCATCCGCCCCGACGCAGAATAGTGTAAAAATGAGCGGGAAGGAAGCACATAGTTTGGGGTGTCATCTCACCGACCATCGAGCGGTAATTACCCCATCATCGCGGCCGATCATCTCACACACCCGGGCCAGGACCGCCAGTCTGGCGTCACTCCCAGTCACGGCGGCCGTCACGCTAACGAACGGCGCCTCCGAGCGCGCCGTCCACTCGCCGGCTTAACGTCCGCGCCACCAGCGCCGCGGCCGCGCCGCCGTTGCCGCAGCCGAGCCACGAGCGCCGTAACTCGGCTTTACGACGCGGCGGGCGTCGGCGAGACGCGAAAGGGTCGGCGCCGCCGAACAGATGGTATTAATTGGCCGATTATGGATTGGCTGCCTTCTGGCCGCTGCTGTCGGCTGGAGACGCAGCTTTCCGCTGCTGTCGGCTGGAAACGCAGCTTTCCACAAAACTGTGGCCCACAGCCCGCATCGCCCCGACCGACCCAGCCCGGGTCCAATTCGCAGAACGTACGTGGTTCAATCCATTTCTCCATTGCCGTGTCCAAGCTCCATTCCAATCCGCCCTCGATCCGCCCATATTTGTGCGATGGCATCTGATCAAAGGCAGCTAGTTTAACAGATGGCAAAAGCAAGCTAGTACGATGCGTCAAACTTTGGCATCAGTTTTATCCAGGGCAGGCCTCAAGACCCCCCGAATATCAGCCAGAAATAAGCCAAACAACCAGAAAAATCGATCTAAGGCAATGCTATTAAAGTGAATGATAATAAATCATCAAAAATCCTAGCCTGAAAGTTCCCAACATCGACTTCAGAAAGCGTTAAGAAAAAAGCTTAACGTTTACTTGCACAAGCGGTCACTCATTAGGGATTGCTAAATGCACAACGAAAAACATCTAATTTAATGAAAGTGAGGACGTTTTGGGTATATTATTCCAAGCATGGTATAAGAGCATAGCGCCGAACTGACAACCGACGCACCACACATTGCAGATGCGTGGTGCTTAAAATGGACGCACGAAATAAGCTTTGCATCTCAGGTGCTGGAAGGTACCTCACGCTATGTAACCGTGTACATGAAAAACAACAGCGAAGCTTACCCATGCATGGCCTCTCTCCTTGAAGTGACGATTTCATCTTTGGGAAAAATTGCAGAAGCCCTCCGCAATGAACTCACCGGATCCCTTACTACTTGTAATTGCAACGGAAAGCTCCCTAATGCAGTGCTGATTAAAAAACAGACACTGATATGTTTTACTCGTATGGGACAGCAATTTTTATGTTTTGGCGTAACGAAGGAGGCGACTCTACTTATAGAAGCTTTACACCATTGTAACTAATGCATTTGATATATCTTCAAGTGACGTGTAACAGGCGCAGCTGACATATGCTCGAGTGAAGAGTGACTGATTCTGTGTGTTAAATTTCCCCACGCTGGAAAGAAGCAGCCACGAGGAATGAGGCTGCTGGCCAACGGCCGAAGTTTTCAATTGTTAAATGAAGCAAAAGCGAAAGAGTTTGTAAACTCGAAAATTGAGATGCATGTAAGCAGAAAAGGTAATGGGCTTGGTTTTGTGGCACAATGAGCGCGGTACGTTAAGGGTCAATTGTTTTTTTGTGGTGTAGGTGAGGGTATGACTTGAAAGCTTGCTAATTTCTCGCAAATACAAATTTGGTCAACATATTCATTCAGAACACCTGCATTGTAACCACCACTGTTGTGCTGCAAACTTCGCCTCCTCTTCAAACTGCAAACTCCTCGAACTCTTTAGATGGTAACTGGCACACTTCCACTGAATGTTCCAACTTTCAGCAGATGGCTGTCAGGTTAATTTAGTGTTTCAAAGCATGTGTACTCACTGACTTTCCCTTGGAAAATATAACACACTAATATTGTTTCTCTGTAATAAATCATTGACCCCATGCGACCCCCCCCCCCCCCAGCAAAACCAGCGCCAAAAACACCATGCTACATTGTCAAAAAAAAATTTAGACACTTCTATTGGAAAATACATTATCGATGCATCGCATGAGGGGAAATTGGTCCCCTGCTTCAATGCCTTTGATCCCAATACGCGAGCAAAATCTGGTGATGAAAATATTATGCTGAAATCAGGTACAGCAAACTTGAAACTTCCCCGACATGACCAATATTTTGTAAATAAGCTTAAATGATAAATAGCACGTTTGAAGTGGGTGGAAACTAACATCATTCATAAAGTTCACTCAGTAACGGCGGAATAAATTTTCAAGGTGATTAATTGGACCGAAACCGAACCTGGGATACATATATTGCGCTGATGGGTGCAAATTTCGGAGAAAGACCTGGCAGCGTGAATCCTGCACGATGAGGCTCACCTAAGAGCAATCGATGATCAACGTGAAATCTTACCTTGGTGTCAGTTTTCACCTTTCAAAAGGCGGAAACTCTTTCAGCCCCATGAAGTTTTACAGTTCAGCTGCAAGTGGCCGCCATTCTATCGCATCATCCAAATTGAGGCTAAATTCGAAAGACAAAACCAATTGTCGGGCCATCTGTTCCCATACCAAACCACGCGCTCGATATACTTCCATTCAACCATTTGACGTTGATATTCTGTCTGGTAATTGCTCTCTCGCCTCCGTCAAATAGTCCAATGACATCAGGATGGTCTGATGTTCTGATGAAGGGCGTTATCAAGCCATCAGAATGCAGAGATGCGCCAAAACAACTTGCTGCATATGAACATGTGAAGAGATAACGTTGGTGCAATTCGTGACATAATCAATGAGCTTGTTAAATGCGGTGTTTGACAACACCAACACAGCAATAGAAAAACGTAGATAACTCTCCACGTGGATCCTTTCCGAATCTAGAGAAATATTGTGCAAATGTTCGCAAGCACAAATAACGCGACCCCGTATGATGCCACTAGGTTACAGACACACAACTAATAAGGATATGCATATAGGCTGAAATTGTTTTCGAAGCCCTTCAGAGACGTATTTTGATACGGGCCAGATGGGGCTAAGGACGACATATGTCATAGATCCTGTGCCGTTTGGTGTTTGCAGTGACCCGGACAACAAAGAGTCTGTGTGACGTCACGCAGAATCTGCTGGATGCGCAGAATCTTTTCCTGCGACTCGATCGGAGTAAGACAGAAATGGGGCAACATTTTAAATTATGAATAGACCAATTCGTGTGCCTAAGACCGAGTACGAGTGGTGAAAAGGTGTTTTAAACGTTAAAAAGAGCATAATTTGTAGATTCCCTTCTAGGAGCACTCACGGTGCCTACAAACGAAAATGTGTCTTTGCATGCGCAGTTATTGTCACGAGTTACGAAGATGTAAACAAAACCGAGTCGCGCTGCAAACCTGCCCTGCCCAAGATTCCACGGACGTCACGTCGAATAGAGCATTCTTGGTGCGCTGCGAATACATCCATAGCGGCCATAAGCGTAGCTGGTGATCCATGCCACTTTCATTCATTTTGAATCATGTTTTGAGCCTACAAAATCAAAATCAAGGTACATGCATCTTAGAGTCAGACGTAATAGTTAGGTGCCGAACACAGGTTTCTGTCTCACTTAATGCGGACCCTGTTTAAGCCTTCCACCGGGAAATGAAATGAATCTTTTTAACATTTGTGCCGTAGATTTCCACGGACGTGTCAAAAACTGGGCTCATCTTTGGTTAGCTGTCACATTTATGTACCATGATGTCCATGAGTGTTGTGGCGATTTTTGAATTTCTTTATATGGCTACCACATACCTTTTGGAATCGTGTGAAAATACCCTCATCGCTCTGACCAGTACAGAGCCAGCTATATTTGACTCACAGTTCGCCAAAGATCCCTCGTGGCTAAGCCGGGCCAAATGTCACGGGCAAGCGGGTCAGAAGCTGGGGCCCTGATCTCGGCTCCGGCAGCAGCTGCCTTGAGCTGCCGGCTATCCGAGAATTAGATGTGAGACGTCCCACGCTGACGAATGAGCTAGTGGGAGCGGATGATGGAGCGAAAGTGGGCCCGATTTAACGCACTTGAAAGCGGCAGGGGGCTCTGTCCCTGACGTTCATGCCACACTGGGCACCAGAGCACAGGAGACAAAGCCGCTAAAACACAATTAGCGTGGGGAGGGAGCTAGCATCTCTCACGCCCACACTGCGGCCAGTCGTGCGGCGGCCAGACAGGCACGTGGCGCGCCACCGCCGCCCGCGCCTTACCTCGCACTTGCCGTCGATGCAGATGTCAAGGCTGCCGTCTCGGCAGCGGGTGCCGTCGATGACACGCGGCGCCAGCTGCTCCACCAGCTGGTGGTCTCGCGCACGGCACGTCAGCGCGCACGGCTCGGCCACGTCCTGGTACGGCTCCCAGCGATAGCGGCGGCCGTCGCTGTGCAGCTGGTGGTCGTAGGCGGCGCACTGCACGCGCCGCGGGTCCGTCACGTTCACACACACCTGGAACGGAGGATGTGTGCCGGTCAGTGGACGCCAGCAGCAGAAAGCCAGAAGTTGGCGTGGCTCGTTGCTCATGAGCTTTAATAATTGGGAAAGTTGTCTAACCGCGGTCATGGATGTGTGTGATTATGGAAGTCGTTTAATAACGCGCACAGCGGGCATTTAATATTCCTGCGCTTTAACAGCGGTAGGAAACTTTCTTTCCACCGTTCGACACCATTACAGGCGAAGTCCCGGCACAATTTTAAAATCAAGTCCGCGTGCTTCCTGGTGGGGCAGAACAATGGCTAGCCTGCTTTTCTCCGCAACAGTTAAACCACAAGCGGATGTAGAAAGTTTGACGCCTAAAGTGGTTTCAAAGTCATTCGAAATAAGTTCGTTGTTCTTTGGCGGCTTCTTCTGCTGCACACGCCTTCCATGGCCGAACATCTAAATATTAACGTAAGTAAATAGATGTAATGTAATGAAACAAAACCGTCAAGCGCGACCAAAAACCAATTGATGTTACGTATAATTTAAAAAAAATATATCTGTGTATTCTCATATATATATATATATATATATATATATATATATATATATATATAGCGCGCGTGTGTGCGTGTGTGCGTGTGTGCGTGCGTGCGTGTGTGTGTGTATAACTAACATATATGCCACGCGAAATTAAGTGATAGTGGCCGGAGATAGGGGTTGCCCAATTTTTGCAAAAGTTTGCTATTTTTAAGAGGGCAGATCATGCAATGACATTTTCCTTTCAAAATTCCAACTATTATTTCAAAATGTACGAAACCCACTGCATCATTTCCGGAAGTGTAACATTTACGCCGTTCGTCGCCATGACCTCACGAACGTCAAATGACGCGCAGAGTGACGTGAGCCAGTTTACAGGCTCTCGCATCTCGGCTGGGACTGAGTTAGGGAGCAGCGGCCCTGAAACGTTAGCGCGAAAGTTCCTCACGGTCATGCACTGCACAACACGCTTCAGAAGCGCAATCTGCACGGTCCGGGCAGACCCAGCAAGTCAATTATGTTTTCATTCACGTTGAAAGCGGCTTTAGTTCTTCTTTTGACAGCTCATTTAGAAAGTTTGATAGTTTTCTCGGAAGAACGCTGCTGAGAACGGAACAATATCCCACGCGCTGACGGAGAACAATCGGGCCGTTTGAGAGCACAATACGTGCTGACTGGTTTGTTGGCTGCGGGTTAACGTGACGAGCCGGAGCCAGCCGCTCCGTGACGGCCAGTGCAACACTGAAACTAATCAAGATACACCTTCAGCGTGCTCGTTATGGTCGGCAAGAGGTCAGCTGAGGGACATTTCCGGAGCGGCCCTGTAACTGAATAACAAACATACCGATTCCGCTCTGCTTCGACCTGGGCGAAGTTGAACAGCTTTCATCTGATCTAATTTTGGGTCCTGATACAGTAAAGTAAACGGGGATCGGGTTGTTGACGTGGTTAAAAACTTAAAAAGACTTCAACAGCGTCGGTTTCTTATCTCAAAACATGCCAACGACTTGACGCACAGGGACGTACAAACAAACGCGTAGTCACGGGCTTCACCAACACGGATGTAAACTGAAATCAAAATGGACATTGATAACGGACAGGGCCTGTTCTTCAAAGCTTGAAAAGCCATCTACAATATTGAGTCCATAAGCGTTTATGAGGGGATCAGTAATCAGATCTTGCATAACGCAACGGGGTTACAATACAGCAACAGTAATATTTAGTTTCCTTGCATAATGAGGTTCTAAAATCGATTCCCAAAGATAAGTTGAAAATCCAACCATCGCAATACATACATGTTTTGATCCTAGAAATGGATCCTGATATTGAATCCTTGGGTCTTGGATTCCGAATCTTGGGAAACCTATGGTACGTTCTGAAATATTTTCAAATGCACTTGAGGTATTTTCTGCAAGGTTCTTATATGGTTCCGGATATCTTTTTGGTTGGCTTGTGGTTTTAGATTATGATTATGGTTTTATGGAGCCAAATTATTTGTATGATCCTGCATTTGCTGGCAAAGCTTGTGGAATGGTCGTCTTTGATTTAATGCTTATCGTAGGCCATCTCGGGCTTTTGGAGACATTTTAACCCTGAGGTCTTTTGGATTCATGATATTCTTTTTAATTTCGTTAAATATCGTTTTGGATTCGGCTCCTTTTCCTGGGACTTAGGCACACGCCGGCACAAAAGTATTCATTTATCTATAAGTAGCTGTGTAGTGGCGTAGCTTGTAGCCGGGTAGGAGTGCTGCAGCCCACATGAACGGACGTCAGTCATTTGTCTATAAGTAACTGTGTAGTGACGTAGCTTGTATCTTCCAGTCCAAAATAAGCTATCAACGCTTTGTGACAGCACTACGCTTCCTCCCTGCAATCGCGACCACTGTCTTCATGACAACCACCATGCGCACTTCGACTGGCGTAAATAAAAGAACGCTTGTGATTGGTCCAGTGGGCGAGGGCCTGTCACCGAGAAGTTAGTTGGCTTAAGTTTGAAACAGTGCGTCACATGGATCATGTGATACTCCCATTTCCGAAGCCAAAGTGTGCCAAAGAGCCAGTGTGGTAAACGCCGAAGAGGAGAAATCGAAGCAATAGCATAATGTTTCGTTGCATTCGCGAAATTAGAGCCATATGTTCACATATATTTTTGTTTAAACAGAGTGTTTCAAGCTTTCCTAGCACTTATTACTCGATCAGTTTGACGCAGCGGTGTTTTACAAACATTGTGAGTCAAATGAGGTTTCTCCCCCAGGTTCGGTTACTTCAAATTGAAACTTTGAGGTTTTCTCGAAGATTTCGAGAAAACTTGTATTACTAAACAGATTGTACGCATCTGATGTCACAATAGGTACAAAAAGGTGCTTTCAATGTGCACCAGGCAATACCTTCGAACCCTCCTTCGGAAAGCACCGGTCAGGTTTCAAAAATAACAAAGCGCGAGTTAAATATATGTTGCTTGATATATTGCAATAGTGCCGTTATAACTGCCGAATGACACCTTTTGCAAGGCTTAGGTGACTTGGAAAGAAAGCCAATGCCAAAGTGACAAATGTTATCATGCTGAGTCAAAACCTACAATGCATCAATATCTATAGATTACGTAACGTGAGACTTGCTTGGTTACAGTAGATACTTTTAACAAAGTCATTGACACGTTTGTGAATCACAAAACAATATCTGCATGTTAAGAGGTTACCATTAATTAGTAGATTTTACGGATTGTGGCCGGTTAATTGGTTGAGAATCAAACGTTTTGCGCTGATCTAAAAACACACCCGACATGAAGCTATGCTGTCTTGTATTATAATACCGACCACATTTCAAATTCCAATTCCAGTTGAGTTCTTTGAGCATGCTGCCGGAAAGAAACACTCTCCAGCCATGGTATTGGCCGAGGTTGTAAGCAGGGGATATACGTAAGAGCTTAATGATGCATTCCAACATAGCTGGGTCTTAACAATCCCGCAGCTCTGCTGCTCATAAAAACGCAATAACTTTATTCGCGGCATCGTGCTATGCTCCACTACAAAGTAAAACGAAACATCGTTGAAAACCTTTTATTTTCCTATTTATTTTTTATTTTTGTTATCCACAACAAGGCAGAACAAAAAATCGTTGAAAACGCGCCGTGTTCCACTGCGAAGCACAACGGAAATATTACGAAGAGATCGCCATACTAGATAACCATAAATCACTCATCACCGATGGACATATTTATATCGAACAAATGAGACGCCAAGAAATATTCACTTGGAGGGCGTGAGTTAAGCACCCAGAAAAGTTATAGGGTTACGTTGCCAGGTTCCTGCGAGATGCTACCACACTTAACACAACACTAGGCCGAAAGAGCACGAAAGGTCCTCCCGCGGGAGTCCTCCCGCGGGGGTCCTCCCGCGGGGGTCCTCCCGCGGTCCAGAGCCGACCGTCGTCAGCAGTTCCAGCCAGCGCCCACCCGAAGCTGGTGCGGCTGTGACGGCTGAGGCTGGACACAACTGGGCCGCATCCAGGTCCCGCTGGCCAAAAGGTGAGCTTCTCCAGATCGGGTACGAAGTCTGCGCCGCCTAGTTTTCCACAAGAGCATACGAAAATCCTCTTATTGCGACATTCGACCCTTTCCGCTCTTGGGTGTCCATGCCTTCTGCCCTTTCTATTGGGCTCTCTTCGGGATCAGTGGAGCATGTCATGAATGCGTCATCACGCCTTTCTCCCACTCTTTGGCTTTCCAAGGACCGGCGGGTACCGATAGTGAAGTGGTTAATTTGCCTGCGTTAACCACTGCGTGTCTGAGAAACCAGAGGTACGGGGTTCCGTTCCCCGCGGTGCCCGCCCTCCCTGCCAGAGTGAAAGTCAGTGAACGCCATAAAGCCTCTGCAGCTGAGTGCATCGTAGAACACCAATGACTCACTCTCCAAGGACCAGCGCAAGGTGGGGGAAACGAATTATCATGTGTTCTCTCTCTCTCTCTCTCTCTCTCTCTCTCTCTCTCTCTCTCTCTCTCTCTCTTCTCTCTCTCTCTCTCTCTCTCTCTCTCTCTCTCTCTCTCTCTCTCTCTCTCTCTCTCTCTCTCTTCTCTTCTCTCTCTCTCTCTCTTCTCTCTTCTCTCTCTCTCTCTCTTCTCTCTCTCTCTCTCTCTCTCTCTCTCTCTCTCTCTCCTCTCTCTCTCTCTCTCTCTCTCTCTCTCTCTCTTCTCTCTCTCTCTCTCTCTCTCTCTCTCTCTCTCTCTCTCTCTCTCTCTCTCTCTCTCTCTCTCTCTTCTCTCTCTCTCTCTCTCTCTCTCTCTCTCTCTCTCTCTCTCTCTCTCTCCTCTCTTCTCTCTTCTCTCTCTCTCTCTCTCTTCTCTCTCTCTCTCTCTCTCTCTCTCTCTCTCTCTCTCTCTCTCTCTCTCTCCTTCTCTCCTCTCTCTCTCTCTTCTATCTCTCTCTATCTCTCTCTCTCGCTCTCTCTCTCTTACCCCACTCTCATTCCCTTGGTTTGCCCAAGATCGGT